CTCTGTCAGTATTACATATTTTAAGAATTATTGTATGACCACATCACTACAAATAGACATTTTGGTATTGTAAGAAAATAGTCTTAATCTTATTTCAGAAAAATTTTAGGTTTAAAAAACAAGCGTCTATACGTCTGTCTTTAAATAAACTTGTATTTTAATTATATTTATAATTAAAAATAAAGGCTATAAACAGTCTTTTTTTAATTTGGCTGTCGTAACTCGACCACGTAAAGTTACGTGAACGAAAAAATCGTTTTCGAAAGGACTAATGTGGTTAATTACTCACAATTTGTATGCGATTGTCTCCAATTTGAAAGCAGTCATAAAACTGTTAATGAAGTAATTGTCATTTCATTACAGTTTCCCACTATTTCGTAATCGCTCCCAGACAGTCAGCCAATCCAACAGTGATATAATATTTACGTATAATTTTTATCACAGTTTCATACAAATCCAACATAATTCGCCGCTTACGTCACCAACGGTTGTTTTAAGCACCGGATAAGAAGTTGTTGAAACTGGCGTCATATTATTTTTACCTAGCATTTTTCATAAAAAAAATATCTTATTTAAAATATTAATATAAATTCGGATCTACATAGCAATTAATTAAAAGAAACCCCACCCCTAACAAAGAATTGCCCCTCTGCCTCTAAATTTTCACACGGAGTCCGAACTATTTCACCACCGTGGCCCATGCAGTTACATAAAGTTTGATAAGAAGATTTGCTCTCAGATAAACACTTTCTGCGGCATCTTACGGTAAACAGCATTGCTATCTTATCGCAGCGAATGCCTCACTTGGCGTTATCGTTTTATTTTTTATAGCCTATTTTATTCAGTTTGATTTTACAATATTTAATATTTCCTGTTGGTTTTTTTGAGGACAGATTAGCATGGGGTTGACTTCATGAAAGTAAAATATAACATGATGCGATGCCGACCTATTTTGGTTTTGGATAATCGGAATTCCACAGACTGAAACTGAAACGCGATTAACACATCTTTTTCGGTGGTTCATGACGCGGTTCCTACTGTTACTTTTAGTGATTGAAAAAAAATAAAGAAAAAATATTTTACTTAAGGTTATGCACATAATTGTCATCCACTGCGTAGATCCGGGCTCTCGAGCTGAAACAATATCTATCTGTCGATCTCTGTTTATTAGGTCGGGTTAAGTATGCTCTAGATACTAGATTAAATCACCTGTGTGTGCATGCCTATGTCGGTCGCCATGATGGCATTCTAAGATACATTGTTGAAGCGCTTTATAATGTGTAAAAAAATTGTCACAAAAATAAAGCTTTAATCGTTTTTCTCGCACCAATAAAATTTTTTTTTATCTTGTATGTGGGCAGACCGACTTAAATTTGCGTTTCCCTGAGTAGATGCACGTTCAAGTCCCGCCCGTGTCGTAATTTTCTTTTTCAATGTAAATAAAGAAAGCGATGGGACTAAATAAATTTAATTTATTTAGTACCATCACGTGAATAACATGAAGGCTTTGAAAATTATTTAAATAGATAAAATATAAGTATTTTATATATATTATTCTATATTCTACTAAACTGCATTATATATTCCGGAAACGCGGCGTGATATCTCACTTCATTGTTATTTGATGAATATATTTGCATTCTCGTTATTGGTAGAGGCATTTAGCGCCACTATGTCGATGGGAATGGGACGCAAATTAGCATACACGTAGGTGTCGCATACTGTTACCCACTGAATGTTGCCAAGCACTATAAGAAGGTTTAGACAATTCCAAGAAGAGTATTGATCAAAGTTATGTGCCAGAAAATATAATATTAACAGCAAATAAATAAAACCCATAGGAATTTTTTTACAAAAGGGATACCAGTCCATTTATAGAGCTCTTACGCTATTAAACTGTTACTTTAAGTAATTGGATATTCATTTATTAGTTGCTATCTGATTTAGGATTTTACAACCATTGTTGCAGACATGTTTTCTAGATTTCTATGTAGATTTTGCTATTTATATAATTGTAAGACAATTTTCATGAGTTATGATAATTTTTAGATAAACAATTGCGTTGTTCTCTGTAATAAAAGATTTCTTTCCTAATTTACACAAATACAGTACAATACAAATGCATAAACCCAACTTGCCTGTAATAAAAGAAACGACATTAAAAGTGAATCATTTAAAATCTAGTCCTTTCCTTTTTATAATTTTTATAACCTCGTAGTATTAATGATCCTCATACATGCTGATCAATCTCTCAACTTCAAAACCAAACTATAGAACATGATTAAAATACAGAACATGAAAAAAACTACAGAAGTATGTTTTTTTACATAAGTTTAACAGACCTTGACATAGAAATCAGAGACATCAATTAAAGAAGTATAATTTTGATAACGAACACTTTAAGTATTGTAAGTGGTTTTTATCTAGGTACCTACTTATGGCTAACAGACGACTTTAAGTTGAAAAACTCATAGTTGAAAATATTGTTTTTATTTTAGTTTTAGTAAACCTCAGAAATTATGAGCTGCAATCGGTCTCCGGTCTTATTCTAAACTATTTTAAATTAGGAATTAAAAAGTATTTTTTTATCAGGAACAAGAGAAGACATTCACACTATATTATAGGAAGAAAACAAATTTTCCATTCCATTCGAATCGCGTCTTCGTGTTTCATACGATTTTTGTAATAACGCCACGTACCGTATATATAACGGTTAAGTTTAATCATTTGCTCTTTTTGAGAGATGTACATAAAACTAAAGGCGATTGGCAACAGCTAACAACACATTTCGAAAGCCAATCTAAAACATCCCGTTGCAAAATATTAACGGACGGTCAGTGGGCCAGCTCGCCAGTTTGAGTTAGGTTTAGCTATAAAAGTAGAAGGTGATTTTGTGCAACGTCAGATATCTAGAATTCGAGCACGCCGCGACCCACTTGCGCCCAGATAGCATTGTTTATTAGCTACTTGCTGCAAGAGGATATTTCGAGATGTGAGAGTTGGTATGTGGGATGGAACGATAAGTGCTTGCGGACTTATCTAGTTCAAGGGACTGAACATTATTCAAGTTTTGTTTGCCTGAAACGAAATTGCGATCTAGACTAAGGTGAAGAGTTTGTTTGTTTGAACGCACTAATCTCAAGAACTACGGGTTTGAATTAATTATTTTTTTGTCTTGCTAAGGTTGTCGAAGGGGTTAGGCTACAAATTGGGCTGCGACCCATAGGAGCGAAACAACAAAGGGGAATGTGGAAAAATAAGATGGCATAGGGTCAGATCATCTCACGTTACATCAATTGAACTCTATGTTTGTCTTTTTTTGTATTACAAAGAAGTAATAAAAAAAGCATACTACTCTCACAGTATCACTACTTTCGACAATAATGTAGGTTCCCATTATGCCATAGTTGTATAGTAAACCTCGCAGACCGCAATTTGTAAGGGAGTCGGGTTTTTGTTCCTGCGATTGTGAACACGAGGATTGGAGAATAACGGACTAAAATGGGAAATGTAGGACACTTCACGAAACGCTAGATTATCTCTAGCGTTGACTGTTTATGTTTTGGGCTGACTTGAATTTTCACGACTCTTTGATTCTATTTATAACGTAAACAAGACATTTAATATTATTCACTATTAGCGAAAGTACATGTACAGAACGTATATAAACATTCACAAATAACAGAAAGTACAGTCGAGATCGGTCGAGTCGTTTCAGATAAGCCTTCGGGCTAGAATAAATAAAATAGAAGAGAATAAATAAGATAGGAAAAGGACAGATAAAATTGTAAAGAATTATAATATGCTGATAAAAAATACGCACATTACTCGTGGGTTCATAGTAAAACTTTTTTCCTGTTAAAGTATTGAAAAGATCCCAAAATAAAACATGGAAAATAGTTTGTAGTTTTATCAAAAAGGTCCGATACGAGATAGAAATTCGATTTTCTTATTGCCTATATAAAAATGTGAAACGGAGGAGGAATAATTTATTTCCTCGTAAAATAAATCTAGACGTTTGCAACAGTGTTACAAGGAATGTATTGTTTATACTAAGCCGACGATTAGCGGATGGCGTGGCGTCATCAAAGACAAAAAACGGCTGATATAAAAAGCGGTCGGCGAGCACGTCGCTATGCCCTTGACGGGTCACATGCCCGCCGGGCAGGCTTTCTTTCGCAATCCCTGGAAACCATTGGGTCATGCCAAGGAAATTCTATTTTTAGGAACTTGTTTGTGCTTTTAATTATTACGAGTTATTAGAAAATACAATTTACTAAAATAGAGGAGAACCCTTTTTGATTTGCTTCCAGCATTATTACAGAGGAAATGGTTCAGATTACCAATGTGTTACACAAAAAATCACGGTTATGATGCTAAGACATTTTATATTAAGAATTCTTTTTCTATTCTTCAATTCTAACTGTATTAGTTTTTACATACGATACTGAATTATTTAAATTAAAAGTCTCTTTAAATTTTAAGAATATTGATGTTTTTTTATAATCTAAATAGGTTTTTAATTAACTAACTAATTCAGTCAATAAACCCGTTAACTTTAACAAATATTTAAAGAACTGTAAAAAATGCTAGATGAGAATATTTATTAAGTTCTTCATACTTAGATTCCTTCTGCCAATTAATAATAATAATCTAGAAGCCATTAAAATAACACAATTAAAAATTAATCAATTCTCAAACCAATTAATTATATTATTTTAATCCATTTAATGATGACTCTTTTTTGCAATTTCATATTGTATATCTATTATGTTATATGTGTTGTAAATTGGAGACTTATCATTTCGTCTATTTTCAATCTCTCGTAACGGATGCCGTAAATAATCGAAAATATCGGGTCGTAGTCGGTAAAAGATTAACTAATATAATTCTCCTTTTAAACCGTTAGAAATATTTATATAATATAGTACCCTCTCTAAAACTTAGATAAGATATTGGTATCGTAGAAGCAAGCAATAATGGAACTTGTTTGTTTTCAGGTAACCCACAAAACCTCCGGCAAAGTGATGGTGCTGAAAATGAACCAACAAAGGGCGAATCGACCCAACATGCTCCGGGAAGTTCAGCTCATGAACAAACTCAAACACCCAAATATTTTAGGGTACGTCTAATTTACTGATCCTTGCGGTTGTTTAGCTACTTAATGATAGGAATTTCATTAATATATATATAGATCTTATGTTTGTATATATTTCGTGTCTTATAACAGTATAAGTTCGATATGAAATTTCAAATCCTAAAGCAATAAGCCCTTTTAGTAATAGGTAGTTATCAGATATTGATTGATTATTATTAACGTACCCGCTTGATTAAGAACTCTTGAAAACATATAGTCTTTAAGTGGGGCATGGGCCAAACACATTTTTGTGTTCCTTTCACTGATCCGTTCTTTTGTTAACAGGTCTGACATGCGGGCAAGTAGTTGACCAGACTTCTGTGCCCTGCCCGACTGAAACAATTTTTCGATATTCGAATATTCGATCAATAATTCGAACCCAGGACCTCTCGCGCTTAACGCAATGTTAGACAATACATTAAACCATTGGGCTACAGATATACAGTCTTTGATAGTTAAAAAAATAATATTTTCTGTTTTTTGATTTTTGTTTTTTTTTTTAACATTAATCCTATAACAAACTCTATACATTTTTCTCAATTCTACCATCATGTCAACAATAGTTTATGGATGTAATATAATTTAGTTTTATCACTTAATATTGTAACGAAGGTAATCAAATCGAACAACGCTTATTAACTTATTTTATTTTTTATTGCTGTATTATTTATGAAACACACCACAAAAAATACCCCTTAATGAGGAAAATCTTACGTACTAACTTATAAACAAAAGGCGGCCTTATCGCTAAATAGCGATCTCTTCCAGGCAACCTGAAGTACAAGAGAAAAGAAATAAAAATAACTTATTACGAAGAATATACAAAGTTTCCATTTAGAGGGAGAACGAACGAGAAGAATTAACAAGGAACTCGCCGCTACTTCTTTTAATGGATAAGTTTTATTTTATAGTCTTCACGTACATAAAGTGTGGAGATTTTAGATTCTTCCAACCCCAAGCATTGCAGATATACAAACTGATTTACAGAGATACAAAATACAATACAATATTTTTTATATCACAAGGCGTCATATGTGTGAGTCAAGAGGCAGACGTCGTAAATTGTATGTTTACACAAATTATGCTACCGATCTGTTTACTTAACGTACAAAGAACCGATGGCCCGATATTTATGGATATTCGAAGTTAATATTGACCTAACTGAATTGGATTCTTTGAGCGTTTGTCATCTTCATATATAATAAAAATATACAATGTCTTCCATATTTGATAACTGCCTCTAACGCCTCTAATCGCCTCTGTAGCCAACTTGTTAACCATATTGCCTAGCATAGCGTTAAGCGCGAGAGGTCCCGGGTTCGAATCCCAGGGAAACATAAAATTGTTTCGATCGGGCAGAGCACAGAAGTATGATCAACTACTTGCCTGTTAAAAGAATGTATCTGTGAAACGGACAAGAAATGTGTTCGCCCCATGCCCCACGTGGGGGAAACGGGCTTTCACACTTCACCATATGTGATAAAAAGTCGTCTGATTTAGTTGAAAATGTTTCCTTCTAAATACTGTCTATAGTTTACGCGAGTAGTACACATTTAAATAAAACACTTCAACGGTTTAAAACGCGATATATTAGTTAAACTTATTTGAAAATGATTTTTAACTTCGGCCCGACGTTTCGGATGCTTTGCAGCAGCTGTGGTCACGGGGAGACCATCCAATCCACCAATCATTTTCAAATAAGTTTAACTAATATATCGCGTTTTAAACCGTTGAAGTGTTTTATTTAAATGTTTCCTTCTAGTTGTCTCTTGTTTTTGGTCTGTATATATGACTATTCAGACAGGCAGACTAGTATTTTGAAAAACCAGGTCTTAGCACGTAGGGTGTGTCACTAACAGGGTTCGAGTTTGGGGCGTGGGGTGAACACATTTCTCACATGCCTTCTCACTAATCGGTTCTAAAACAGGCAAGTAGTTATTCATGCTGCCCAGCCCGATAGAAACAATCTATTTTTGCCCCTAAACTCGAATCCATGACTTCTCTGTTTTTATGATAGAGGGGAAAACAAGCATATAAAATCTAAACACGATGCGCAGTCGACCCATTTTGGTTTTGGATATTCGGAAATTAACAGACTGAAACCGAAACGCGATTAATGAAGTCTAACATGTTTCAGAAAAATTATAAATTGAATAGAAAGTATATTGAAGCCGCTGGGTTCGAACCTACGACGCTATGCTAGGCAACACGTTTAACCATTTGTTGGCAAAGCCGTTAAACTCGTGAATAATTCAGATCAAGATGACATTTAAAATTAGACAAAAGCGAAGCCATTGTTACGCGATAAATCACCAGTGATGACTTGTCATCACCAAGACAAAACATCCCATTTCCGTGTTTGCGTAATATTTTCGTTTCGAGATCGTGTCATCCCGAACAATAGCGGCACTGTCTCGCATTGCGCTTCATTTCCTCTTCTTATCATCGGAAGTGAAAAACAATGAATTTTACTGCTCATTGTTGGGTAACATCAGTTTCCACACCACCCGGTTACGAGCGGCGTGGAGACAGATTTGGAGATAACACTTTTTACAGGTCTAGCATCATCTCATAATAAGACGGTAGATTTTGACGGGCCCGTTGCTGTTACGGTAGCATTGTACGGCTAATAATCGCCGGTCCCCGGTTTCGATCCCTACCGGGTCCGACTTTTCTAATCAATTTACAATTTTTCTGAAACACGTCGGATTTCGTCTGGAAATATGGATATTAAGTGGGTGGTAGGAATATTGATTCCGTTCAGGTCCTGAACTACGGTCCACAGATGAAGAAGCCGTGAAGTTTAATCACGTTTCGATTTCAGTCTGTGGATTTCCGAATATCCAAAACCTATATATGCCGACAGCGCATCTTGTTAGATTCTAGAGACTATATTTATTTATATTAATAACTATACGTATATTTATTTACTGTCTACTCCATAATGTTCTTCAAGTAGCGCATTTTTATTATCAACGTAAACTGCTATAAGTTTGTTATAGTTCAGCAAATTAACTAAGTTTTTCTTTGCAAATTAAGAGCTACTTTTCAACTAGAGTGTTTCAAGAGTATTCGCTGTTTATTTTTTATTAGGCTGAACGTTACAAGTTTTGTACTTGAACATATCTTTTGAAATTCTTTTTAGATTTGAATGTTTTTTTAGCATTGATCGCTGTAAATACAGGTTCAACGACCGGATCGAGTTGTTCTTTTAAATATCTTTTACTCATTTAGACTCCAACCTACGACCAAATCATTTATATGTCCAATATAATATAGATGATTTAAAAGTTCTCTATCTACTTTCAAGTGATAAAATTTAAAAAGATTTTACCCCGTAATTTTGTTCTATCGCTATGTTGTTATTTTATTGCTGGATGCCCTTGTAAAATCGACTTCCTAGGAACAAGACACTTTCTATTGCGTGTGCGTTTTACCGAATGTATTTTTTTCATGGTGGCTGCATTGTAATTGGGCCCTCCTTAGATGTCGATCGCACGCGAAGCTTAATTGGTGTTTTGCATCGACTTGATGAGCCAAGACTTTCGCACTCTTTGCGTGCTGATTAGGAGATAATATTTAACGCTATTATCTAGTTAGTAGTTATGCTAATTTCTCTATTAATTAATGGATTTTTTCATCATTTAGAGATTTTTTATTTAGTTCACAAGTTTGAGTAGGCATTAAATTATTTAATTATTCGTCCGCCTCTGGTTATACGTGTTGCCTAACATTGCGTAAAGCCGATATTCTGGATTAAAATCCTAGGAGAAACTTATTCGGTCGGGCAGGGCAGAGAAGGTGCCAATTTTGCCTGTATAGAAAACAGATCTGTGAAACGAACACAGAAATGTGTTCGCCCCATGACTCCACAGGATTTCACTTGTTTAAATTATTTATTACAAATACGCAAAGTAAATATGTCATTGCTGACGTCATTAACTCAATTTAAATCTGATCTTGTGTATTTTCATATTGTTAGTTGTTATTGTGTGCTTAAACCTATAAAGCTTTTGTTAGTTTAAAATTATATATCACAATACTTATTGCGTTTCTTATTAATTGTAAGGATGTACCTAAGTATTTACTATAAGCTCAGTAAACTCTACCTGGTCTTCATAAACGGTCTCCCTGTAGCGTCTAAATCAACAATAATATTGTTCTCAAACAGGGGTGCGAGTAATGTAGAGATTTCATCACTTCTGATTTTGTATGTTTATTAATTCTAAACGATATGCCCTGTTCATCAGCTTAACTTAAATATTTAGTAGCTCGAATGAAGAGTAATTTGCTATTCATCACGCTTTGATGAATCAGAGGGTAATTTAGCGTTGGAATATTTTGGGGTTGAAATTAAATCATGATATTTGTTGTTTGAAATTGCCGGATCTTCGCTTGGACAAAGACGGAAGTTACTAAAACGGTATTTACAGCATTGTAAATATTGACAGGTTTAAAGTTTTTGGTACACGTAATTGAAATTTAGAATGTCAATTTGAATTTTTGAAAACTTTACTTTAATTTGAAACAGCAATACTGAAATATAATTAGAGTAATAATTCAGGTATTTAAATTTAAAAAGGTATAACAAGGAACGCTGAATAAAAGGAAAATTTTCAACCTAAAATCGATTTTTAATTTAGAAAAATGTACATTCTAATGTTCTTTATACTAGGAAAATGCAGTATTTTAATGTATTTATTTATCTATATATTACATATACATTTGTGAAGCAGTGAAGCATGCAATATAATATGTATTATTAAAAAGTTTAAGGCACCTAGCCTTAAAGGTTGGTCGCTTTTAATTTGTTTTTTGTGACCAAAAAAAAGGAACCCTCAAGCATTCCCTATTCCCAATTCGTCCTCTCATTATAGATTTATGGGTGTCTGTGTGCATGAGGGTCAACTGCATGCCCTCACGGAGTTCATGGAGGGTGGCTCGCTGGAGCAGCTGATCCTCAGCAGGCCACCGGAGCCGCTCCCGCAACCGTTAAGGGTGTCTCTGGCGGCTGATATGGCGGAGGGACTTATGTACCTGCATTCGCTAGGCGTCTTCCACAGGGACCTTACTTCTAAGGTAGAAATCATGTATGATTGTTAGATAGAGCTGTTACCGACGATGTCGTCTGATCCCGTCCCATCGCTTGTAGTAGATAGTTTTTTGCCTTCTTAAATAATTTTCCCCGTTTTTCCACATTTCCCTCAGTTCCTTCGTTCCTCTTGTTGCTTGACGCAGCCTGATGTTTTATAGCCTAAGGCATTCCTCGATATACACTCTAACCTACACAAATGGTTCAATTATAACCAACAGTTCCTGAGATTAACGCGTTCAAGTAAAGAAAAAAATAAACTCTCTAACTTCATAACACTACTATAGATTCATACGCGTTAATCGGGCTGCTATAAAACGCTGAAGAAGCCTTATATATTTAAAAAAACGTATTGGCATATCGACGTGACGTGACGTTACCTTTTAAGAAATTGTATAGGATACATATAATGTAATATATAGGAGAAAAAGGTTGGCGTGTAGTAAGTTTGCACTTGTAAATTTTTAAGACGGTAATTTCCATTTCATTTTTATTTCAGAATGTATTATTAAGGAAGAATGGAAACGGTGATTACACCGCTGTTGTAGCGGATTTCGGTTTAGCGGCGAAAATACCTCATCCGATGTAAGTACTCCTAATATCCCCGTTCGCCCCAACACTCGATGACTCTGCCGACCCCATCCCCTCGTCTATTAATTTAACGAGATATTATTAAAGAAACCCTAAAGCGAAATGAAAATATTTCTCCAATTCAAACAGGGGTCAGCGGATTACTATAATTTATATTTATGACTCACTGTTATACACTTAAATACTGTCTGTATTTTACGCGAGTAGTGCCCATTTAAATAAAACACTTTAACGGTTTAAAACGCGATATATTAGTTAAACTTATTTGGAAATTATTTTTAACTTCGCCCCGACGTTTCGGATGCTTTGCAGCAGCCGTGGTCACGGGGAGACTCCGAAAGCATCCAAAACGTCGGGCCGAAGTTAAAAATAATTTCCAAATAAGTTTAACTAATATATCGCGTTTTAAACCGTTAAAGTGTTTTGTTTAAATGTTGTACACTTGTCTATTACTTTTGATTGTCCAATCAGTTCATGACACAAGCGGGAATCAAATCCGGATATTTCGAGAATTTTGAAAGTGCAAAGGAAACTTTAATATTTTTTACATGGCACTACATAAATTAAAAATTGATTATGAATTGTTAAAATTGTACGACTAAGCGGGACTATCGATAAGTTCATTCATATCGAAAATTTAAGGATGACGTGTAAGACTCGGTAGCTCAATTGGTTACAGCAACAGCACGGAACGCTGTAGATGCCACTCCAAGTCTCGCCCGAGTCGTAATTTTTTTTATAATGTATAGTTGCTTTTTAATTTATATTAAGTGCTCAGTCATCAATTTAAGTAAACTAGTAAATGGGACTTCAAATAGCGTAGCTATATTTCCGTTTTGAAGACTACGGACACTGGACCGTCTTGGTGAATTTTCCATTCGTCCCACGCCGATCGTTAATCAAGAAGTTAAAATTTCTCGTCAATCGGATCGCATCTCATTCGGACGGACAATTAACGCGCGAACGAGAAAGCTAGGCACGCGACGTCGCGTGTGCGTCGGCGCGGGTCATTTGTCAAGTTTGGACGATTTATCAAGGCGCGCGCGTTTCGTAAGAACTAGAGTCGCGCCGAGTAACACTTTTGCCGAGTAACGAGTACCGAGGTTCACTCGGCTCATTTTTTTTTACTCGGCCGAGTAACTCCTATGAAATTCCTATTTCGCGTGTGTAAACAAGTATAAACAGGACAAGACGTCGGTTCGTTCTCATCTTCTCGTAATGTTGTCTCATTACTACTCATTCATTAGCATAGTTTACTTTTTTAATTGAAATTTCAAAGATTTCATAAATGACATATACATACTTTCGGATTAACACTGTTCTTTTAATTATATCTACCTAAATATATTGATTTTCTTAAACAAAGTATACTCTTACCAAATAACTAAGTATAACCAAGCTATTCGGCAAGTAAGAGTATTAAAAAACCAGCCGAGTACTCGGCCCATCTCTAGTAAGAACCCACCCTTCACTTTTATTTGCGACGCGTGAATGCTTCCCGGAAATAATCTCGCGGTTTTAGGAAATGCGTATTGTGACTCGGCTTTAACGATGCGTCGTTCTAGAAGCGATTTCGTAATGTGCGTCGTCACTAACGGATCTATTTCCTTTGCTTGACAAGTGTCTTGTGTTGGGACGTAATTCTTTAATACAGGGAATTGTTGTGAACAGTCATAGTTACCTTAGGTAAACCGCAAAAAATACGTCTTAAGAAATTAAATGGGATTTTTTACGTTATTCACCGAGAGTAGGAAAAAGTCCCACATATTTATTAAAAAGGTAGCTTGATAAAACTTCTTTTACTTTTAAGATATTGTCCTTTGTCTCTCAGAAGGCGCTATTTTTCTTTTGCTGACATTGTAGATTGTTAAATGACCCTCCCGTTGTGTTGTCTACCCCATGCTAAAATGTGAAGTGATGGCGGAATTTCGAACCCTCGCTATTCACTCTTATTTGACACTGTACATCGGTCATTTGCTAATTGGTTATTCGTTCGTATTGATCGAAAAACGAGTCAGTGTTGCACAGGGCGTGTTTAATGTCGGGTTTCTCCAGTACTTTAGGAAGTCATTTAATTAACGGTTGATTGTCAAAGTTTCCGCCGTGAAAATTTAAAATTATTTTACAACAAAGCTAACTGATATTACCTACTGTTTGTCTAAGCGCAACTCTATTCTACACGAATCTAAATTATTCTTATCATGCTTTTTACACATCAAAGATATTCCATAATGTATTATAGAAACCAAGATAAAATTTGTAAAACTTCTCGAATGATATACCAAGATGTTATTTAATAAAATGCTTATAATACCTTGTGCTGTTTCAGAAATGGATATCGACTGCCAAGTGTAGGATCTCCATGGTGGATGTCCCCAGAATGCCTCCGCGGTCGGTGGTACGACCACCGCTCCGATATATTCTCCTATGGAATTATACTGTGCCAACTAATCGCCAGAGTGAGTTACTCATTAGTAGTAATTAGATTTTGACTCTGTGTCTATTTATGCGCCCTCGTATATGAGGCTACTAGAGGCAGAGTGGCCTAACAACAAAAACATGATTTCCAATAAGGAGGAAAATAAAATTTCGTAATTAACTTAGGCGAAAATGACTTTGTACTATTATTTGTGTAAAAAATATATTAACTATTTTTGGTAATTGTGTTCTTGTAGGTACTTCGATTAATATTTTTAGACTACGACAATATAAATAACAAGTCAAGTCATAAAATTGCAGTTAGGCTACTTTGCCACTAGCAGCCTCATATTACATATGTCCTTAAGTTTTACACGACGTATTTTTATTATCCTTTTTGTTCAATCTTATATATAGTAGGAACTTTCTCTCTTTTCTGAGTCTCTTTTGTGAGACGGTCTTTGGTCAAGTGACATAGCGTTAGACTTTTCCCGTTCCTTCTAAAGTATTTTTATTACGGGATCCATGTCTTTTATTTGAGCAGTTAATCAATGAGATTTGTAACAGATTTTTTGTCAAGCTTCTCGAATCTATGTCGTTCTTTTTGTGGCACGAGTTCCAATTTGTAATTTGCTAAAAGGTCTTTTGAAATATAAATATGTCAAGTTTTGAAGTTGAATAAGATCTTTCTTTATTTTATAACAAACTACTTCATAGATACAAAATTGTGTAAGGCTTTCGCGAAAAAAACTGCTTTGAGAGCTCAAAAACCCAAGTATTTATTTATCTATCACACAATGTAATGACAGATGGTAACCCAATTCAACACTGAACTTAAAAACAAACATAGAAATATAAAATCTAACAAAGTATCTTAATTAAATTATAACTTTTCACTATTAGTAATTATGTGTTTGAAATTCCGTTACCCCCTCGTGAGGCATGGGGCGAACACATTTCTGTGTCCGTTTCACTGATCCGTTCTCTAACAGGAAATTGCGCGTAACGCAATGTTAGGCAACATTTAACCATTTGGCTACAGGGGCTGTTATTAATAATTATAATTGTTTATTATTACTAATAATTGGTTTATTATTTCAAAACCTATAGGAAATAACTAAGTTAGATTTACTATATGTAGAAGTTACATAAATTTAATCGTAAATGTATTGTGTTATGTGTTTCTTGCCTGTTACTTAACAATGTAATTCAAAGAAAGAAAGAAATAATTTTTTTTGACAGTAGTCAAAAAAAAATATTTCTTAATTTCTAAATGTGAGTTTTGTAAGTCGTAGATTTGGATGTTTAATACGATCGAAAACAGTAGATCCAAGTGTTAATAGTGTTGTCAATCGCAGGTGGACGCCGACCCAGACGTGTTGCCCCGCACGGATAACTTCGGTCTCAACTACATGGCGTTTGTGGAGCTGTGCGACGAGAACACCGTACCAGAGTTCTTGCGCTTGGCCTTCAATTGCTGCATTGTACGTTTCCAAGATAAAAAAAATACTTAAAGATCGAAAATAAATTGAAATAATTTTCGACTCGTGCAGGACTTGAACCGGCATCGTCAGCTTTCCGTGCTATTGCTCTCCAATTGAGCTACCGAGTCTCGGAAAGCTTACGATGCCGGTTCAAGTCCTGCCTGAGACGAAAATTTTTTCAATTTACTTCGATCTTTAATTTACATAGTGCCTTCATGTGCAATAACATGTGAAAAATATTAATGTTTTCAAAAGAAAATACTTGATAGATAAGCACGAGATTCACTTGATGGTAGGTGCTATATCCCACCTATATAACATCTGAACCAGATGCGCTATCGAAGTCTAGTATAGTATGTTGGATAAACTTCATGGCTTTTTTTGTTCTGTGGACACTGGTCGTTCGTAACTCGGACGGAATTTTGATATTTTGACCATCCATTTAATATCCAGATTTCCAGACGAAGCCCAACATGTTTCAGAAACAATATAAATTGATTAAAATCGTTTTTAATTAAAACTACTAGTATACACTCTTCAGTTTTATAATATTCGTTTCCAGTACGAGCCTAAAGCGCGTCCACTATTTCCCGAGATAGTGAGCAAACTGGCCGAGATCAAAGAAGGCCTGGACGATGCAGCTTGGGGTTGCCATACCCCGAACAACACTTATGACAGGTACGTTAAAAAGATATATATACATACATTATACAAATCATCGTAGTTTGATTCAGTTTAACGGGAATTTTACAGGAAACTTCCCATTTTCTCAAGAAAAGTGCTTATCTAATTTTATATTTACCTTTACAAGTATTGCTGTGTTAGCTCTAAACAGATATTACTTAATAAGACACAATAGCTTACAAACATGTCTGTTAGTTGTGCTATCATAAGTGTGTACGTATTTTTAAGCCAACCCCTCTATTATTATTTTCTTTTGGGGACACGGATAAAAGGCTGGGTGAACAATTGATACCATTTGTTCTCTATTTCACCCATGTTCCACAAAAAATATATAAGTTACCTTCTTATTGCAGTAAGAGATCGCTTTTTAGCGACAAGGCCGCCTTTTTTTATTAGCTAGTTCATAAGTTTTTATTAATGTTAACAATTCCTGTGGTGTTTGTAAATAATAAAGTTACATAATTATAACTGTATAACTATGGATGACAATAAAACAAATAATTCCTTTGTAGTGAAGAGGCCGACTCTTCATCCGGCAGATCGTATTCGTCATGGGCGTGGCGACGGCCGCTGCGCATGCGCTCCGAAAGCAGTCCGCACGCTCATCGCGATACACGTAAGTAATATTTTATAGTTACTGTACTGTACAATTGAATTAATTTCACCCAAATAGTTGTAATACTTATAAGAAAAATTCAAGCTACCTACAATTTTGACAAAATTAAAAAGTTTAATGTTGCAGTGATCTTAACTAAAAAAGCAAAATAACAGTGAATAACGTATTACGGTAAATTAATCAGTATTATTATTGGAGTAAAATACAATATTAAAATCACGTCACATGACGAGATTCCAACTAACTACAAACATTTAGCTTTACACGCCGCAGCCGCATCGAAAGACGCGGTTGACATGGTGACAATGAGGTGCCATTTGATACAATGTATATTTATTCAAGCCAATATGTGCTTATGCCAAATATTCGTGGCATAGATAATAGAGTTTTATTTTTTGTAAAGGTTAACTTTTAATCTGTTTTAATTACAGGCAGTGCGGCGCACCGTCGTTCCCTCTCCGAGCTAGAGTGCGCGTACAGGGACTGTCCCCCGTCCCCGCCTCACCGTTCAGCGTGCGCTCTCAACCCCGCGCCCCCCGCACCGCCTAACCTCGCCCGTCTTCATCGTCTCGCCCACATCATGCTGCTACGAGATACGCATGCAGCACCGCGACCCGCGAAACGGGCCCTCCACACCTTCCGGGGGGGTTCATAAAATACTTGAGACGAACCCCCCCGCCGGGGACTCCCCGCAACCGGTGTTCCAGTGGCGATCCCCCCACCCTGTTCCCCACTCCGGACGAACCGCGCTCGTCCTCTCTTCCGCCCTCGCCAGTTTTCAGTAGGAGGCAAAAACTAAGCGATTCAGAGTTGAAACGACGCGGTTCCTGCGAGAGCGGAATATTCTCTGTGGCGAATGAGGATTTCTGCGGACACGCCAGTTATGGGGCGATGTGTCCCTGCTCGTTAATGGGTTGTCATAGGTGCGTATCCACTAAAAAACAACGTCAATGTCCTTTTTACATCTCTTTTTAAATAATTCATATTAAGCATTTCTACTCGTAGAAGGTTGGAATGTGACAAATTGTAATTCTAACCATTTTAACGAGTTTAAACGCTAAAGATATTATAAACTTATATTTGATTTATTTTAAGATATATATTCTGCGTTTTTAGTGTTTTATTTAAATGTGTACTACTCGCGTAAATGTGTTACAGTTGCTTATATGTTCCTTATTGCTTAAAACATCTTGTGTTTCCCATATATACCTATAAAATTATTTATTACGGATATTAACGAAATTAATCTCTCTTTTAAGATGCTGGTGGTGGCGACGTGACTCCAGTAGCGACCGGTCACTGGATGAGTTCGACGAACAGCCGCGACTTCGCGTCTGCACCGACTGCCTCATCGTCTACGAACGGCTGCTTCGGCGACGCCCGACCTTACCAGACGACTCGGCCTTGTCGACCACAGGTATATTTTACTAACCTCCTTTATAGACGGATAAGCATGAGGTTCACTTGATGGTAGGTGAAATCGCATGTCATATAACATCTAAACAAGATGCGCTGTAGGCCTATTTTGGCTTTGGATATTCTGGAAATCCACAGACTGAAACCGAAGCGCAATTACACTTTACGACTTATTCATCTGTGGACGATGGTTCATGACCCCGGACGGTATTTCGATATTCCTACCACTCATTTAATATCTAGACGAAGTCTAACATTTTGATTATGAGGCCCCGGTGGGGATACAACCTACGTCCCGTTGATTCTTAGCCATACATTGCTACCTTTTTACTTTTCTTTCTTACTTGTGGCATAAATTAATTTCGATTTGCATTTACAGTCAGCTCGCTGCGCAGCCTCGACGACGACGAGTCAGTGAAAGAGAACGACGCCTCCCCCTTCCTCTGCGGCCTTCTCGATACGGAGGCCGAGAGCGAACGGGAATACCACGTGCTGACTAAGTGCTGCTGCGTCGGCCGCGTGCAGTGCGCCTCGCATCGACCCCTCGACGAGGAGGAACTCAATCGCGTCTTGCCCAGGGTCTTGGGTGCCTTCCCCTCGCATCTCCTCTCCGCTTGTAAGCGGACCTCGAGCGTCTACACTGACAGCTCGGAAGACGTAGCCTCCCTCGGCTCTGACAGCCTCTACGACGACCGGATCCCCAGGCATGTGAGGTCGGCGCAGATTTCCAAAATCGTGGAGTACTTTGAGAGGAAGGGCGCGGACTTCAAGTGTGAGTTCAAGGGCCAGCGACTCAAGATGAGCAATCGGAGTAAGATGGAGATGCTGCAATTTAGCAAAGGAGAGAAGACGGAAAAGGAATACTTCGTGGACGTGAAGCATAGAGGGGTGGCGGGGAGAATGGAGGTGGTGGGTGAGGAGGGTTGCGGGAGGAAGTGTGTGGCGCAAAGGCTAATGATCTGCGAGGGCGCGGTCAAGTCAAAGTTGCCGCTCTTCGATAAAAAGTCATAACGTAAGGGATACGAAGTCGACAGGCGGACTAAGTGATTCACCGTTTAACGGTTGAGGGAAACGCGAATTATTCTCATGGGTACAATCAGGTCACACAGGTCTTGGGTCAATTTTACAATCATCAGTTAAAAAAAAAGATTGATTTTCACAATGTCACTTCTAAATAACCACGCGACTGTACGTTATACTTTATATCGTACATTTGCGCTTATTTATTAGTTTCTGCAAGTTGGGAGTATTTTTCAAGAAACATTTGTTGGTCAAACTTTCACCGACGTTCAATACCACATTTGAACCCCAAGATCTGTGTACTTAAAAGTGCGTGAACATCAAATCAATACAATTATAATAGAGATATAACGTATGGTCTGGACAATCCTCTAACGTTTAAGATTTTAACGTATAATTCCGCGTTCACCCTTACGAACTCCGAGTTTGCCTCGACTTTGTCTTGTGTCAAATTGTTCAGTGACTTCCAAATAGCGTAGAACAGAAGAGAATTAAAGAACTATTTATATTCCCTAAATATTATATACAGAACTTAAAGAGCAATATTATATGATCGGTATACACATTGTTGAGCAGTAATTGAAGGCTAGTGCCAATTTGTACGGTGAAAGGATTAGGTGACAATACAAGAACGGTTGGGGACTTTTTTGTTTTGTAGAAGGAGAGCGATGTGCAATTGTTTCATTTATAACACATTTTAAAATCATGTCTCCTATGTGTCAACAATACTATCTTATTTAGCTCTTAATAACATTTTAACGGTTTACAACGCGATATATATTGGTTTAATTTATTTGAGATTAATTTAACTACGGTCCGATGTTTCAGCAGCTGTGTTCAGAGGGGAATTTCGGGCCGTTGTTGAGATAATTTTCAAATAAGTTTAACTAATATTGCATTTGAAACCGTTAAGGTTACATACATACAGTATTTAGTTGACAGCTGTTCTGCTTTTCCATCTTTCCTCTTTGTATGCTACTTCAAGTAACGTCGCACTTATTCTACAAAACTGAAGAGAACTTCACATCGATTCCTCGTTTTTTTGACTGAATATACTAAGCATTTCTTTGGATTTAATGAGATTAACGGTTGTAGATATTCTAGACTAACGCGCCATAAGACTGGCCTACACCTTTTTGGGGACTTAGCTGGAAATATAAAATTACGATTTCGTTGGATGTGTATTTTTCTTACTTAATAGATGCGTACGCGTGTAAATAATTTTATAGATATAACTACTAATAATAATTTAAATATATTTAATTTATGTATACAGTATTACGTTATTACTTGCCAGTTCATATTTAGGTGTATATAATTTTCGACCTCTTCATTCGTGAAAGTGGCAACAACAATTCTACACGTTAGATATTTATCTCAGTTCTTTTCATTTACATCGCAAAACTTATATTCTCGTCCCAGCACTGGGGCGTGGGATCGTACGTCCTTATTGAATATTGACAAAATTATTTATACATTTGGTGACGCGTTCCTAGTCTTATAAAGCGCGTCGCTTAGTCCATCTTAGGATATTAGGAATATTTAGAATGATAATCGCACTTAGTATAGATATAATGAATCGAGGGTTTTATAAAATTTTGGTATAATTATATATTTTTAATCATATCTATGACGAATTATTATTATATTATTTCTCTCACACGTCGATTTTCGTGACTTAGAGCAAGTTCATATTCCATTCGCGTTGGCACCTACCATTGTACAAAGTTGTGTCAAAAACTTACCATATTTAGAAACAGAAAAAGTATAACTAGCTAAAATACTTGTCTCTCTCGTACACACTTTCGTTAATATACGAGAAGGCGAGACAAATATAGCTAGGGAAATCTTGTAAAGTGGGTGTAATATGGTGTATGTGTATTAATGTCGATTTAAACAGAACTCTTTCTAGCTCTGAAAGTCTTTGAAGTCGTCTACCTAGTGAAGTTAGTTAATGTTACGAAGAATAAAGTTATTTTCATAGGTCGCTAGAAAGAGCACTGTTTCCAAAAAAATATATACCTAGTGAAATAATTTGTAATTTAAACGGTCGTAAGGCGGCAATATTTAATATAATCATAAATTCCAAACATATTTTTGTCATAATCGCTATCGTCAGGGTATTTGGAATGTTAGTATTGAATTTAAATCAAATTTTATTGTGACTAAAACGATCAAACGTATTAAAAGATAGTGCCAAACATTATTATTATTTCGTATCAAAATGCAATATGCAGCTAAATGGATAGAGAATGCTGGAATTTGAAATTATTTTATTTCCAGAAACTATTTTGGATAGATTTTAAGTACCTATATCGTTATGTTATTGTTACGTCGATCCTATTGTAAATCCCGAGCCTCATAAATAACATGCCACCCTGTCTCTGTTAAAAGTAGATTTCTTTTTTTTCTACAATGCCATCCGTCCCAATGTGTTATAATTATGACAGACTGTTACAAAAGATACCAGTACATACAATTAGCTGGAAGACGATTTTGCATTTGCTGCAGCAGTTGGTGTGTGCCGGCAGCTTGACAGCACGACGATCTTTTACCGTGCTGCTATTGCTGCAACAGCGGTTCTTTTATTCGTAAAAGTTTGCAGCCGTCCATACTACTTCTAACGACCTGCACCAAATTCAGAAACATACCAGCTTAGTGATGCCCCATTTTTGACTCTCTTTAAGGTTCTGTCATAGTTACATGTAAAGCGTCATAATATTATCATAGTCAATTAATATAATGTAGGTGTATTCATAACTTTTGTACTATCATTTCCTGTTAACAATTAGACACTAATATTTATATTTGTTGCCATTTTACAAAATCACGTCTATCGTTCTCCCACTTTTGACTAACAAAATGTTTACGTTATTTGTACCTGTAGAATAGCATAACACAAGTAAGGTTGTTTATTTTTTGTGACATGTTTTCGTTTGAAATAACATGTGTACTTCATACCATGGATCGTCGCGTATCATTAGAAAATCGGGGTTCATTTCACACGAAAACTTCAGGAGGAAGGAAGGAATATTTGACACGGTAGCTCAATTTGTTAGAACAACAGCACGAATCGCTGTGGAGTCCGGTTCAAGTCCTGCCTTCAAGTTTTAATTCAGTGATATCCACTGTAGAGTAACGACAATAATTTAAAAAAAAGTACAGTTCTGTATACAGCTACATGCTATAGCAACTGTTTTTTTATGATTAAAAAATCTAGCAGAACAAAAAAATGTAACGCAATGTACTTATCAACGTACAGTGGCGACTGACGATGCGAACGGCGAGGATAACAAAGGCAGAAATCGCGCTACAGGTCGCTTCGCCGTACGCGCCATCAATCTTTGTTTTGCATCAGTTAAACGTGCCTTCCTTCCTTATCAGGATAAATACAGCAACTTACTATTGTTGACAAAACACCATATATACAAGCATATCAGTTGAAATGTTAGCTCTAGTTATGTCATTAGTAAGAGGGTTAGCGCGTATGTCGTAATAAATTTCGCGTTCAAAACCGTTAATCGCGTAAATTACAGACAATACTGAATCTTTTATTATAAAACGTCACGCGTAATCTTATTGTAATAAGCTGCGTTGTATTTTATAGTTAACGTTCCTTGTTTTAAGGCACTAACTTTTACATAGAACATTTCGTTATAACGGTTGTGTCGAGCCCGGGTTTGCAATAGTTAGGTATACATAGTTGAGCCAACGAGGCACACGATATCTCATGTGTAAGATGTGGTAATAAATATATTTTGTTTCAGTGCAGTGTTTTATTGACAAAACCAAAAACCCACATCCTAAAGATTTCGAAAGTATTTTCATATAATAAACATTTGATTAGAGGGAATTAAAAAAACCAACCTCCAAATTCTTAAGCGCTATATTTTTTACTTTTATTTCTGGACCCATCTCACTGTTTAATTTTATTTTAAGGACATTTTTTGAGGTAATTTAAAAGTAATCATTATTTCCTACATATTTATTGCTTTCATAAACCGTTTTCAACGCAATCCCTCAAGAATGAATAATTATCCCCGCTTTTCCAGATTTTATACCTTTCTTCCCGATTGTTTTAGATGCTGTTTCATTGATAAACGGCCTCTTTAACACAAAGCATTTTTAAATTCGAACCAAAGAGTTCCTGGGCTTAGCGCTAACTCTTATCTGCATTATAACTTGCCCGTTGTAGGTATCTCAAGGCCTATTGTGTTTGAAGTGTGTTTGGCGGATGTAAGATAAGCCATCACAGCTATAACGGCATGTAACCCGACATGCAGGTATTCAGAGAAATGATTTATAATGGCAACACCAAAATAAAACGAGTTGTGAATTATAAATAGTTATATAATGTGTGAATAGGAAATATTTTGTTACGAATCGCAGCGGCAAGGCTTGAAAGTTTCACGAGGGGGAGGTTTCTGAAATAAGTAGAACGAATCAATACGTACATGAAATAATAAAAAGGTATTTTAATGTCAGTCTCCCCTCTTCGGACTCAGTGGTAAAAGCATTGAGTTATCCAGAAAGTTCGACTCCCGTTAAATAAATAGTTTCTGTCAAGTATAATCTAATTAAATGATTTCCTGTAAATGACTACTGAAACAGACATGGAAATATGTTTGCTCGGTGCCACTGAGCAATTTACTTTTACGTTAGTAGATATAGTTCGTAAATATACTTTTTGAACATACAATCCAAACTCGATAAGACAACTAGATTGCTTACAGATTACGATTTACTTCTGATTGTGTGTAAGGTTTGGGCTATAGCTCCTATATACACACACATCATACAAATATACCGGCATATTTAAAACCGTTCTTGTTTTACACATTACCCGAACTCGCCCCTCGCATGGGTCTTTTCCTTTCCCAACGCCAAAGAATTGTTTAATGCTTTCAAATTTCTGGTAAAACAGTCCACATAGTGCCAAGAGAATTGTGGAGCCTCCGATTATGGGGAACCATCCGCCGGAACCGTCGCCGCCAGAGCCGAACAGACGCGCCAACCAACCGGGAGTTGGTGGCGGGGAAGTCCCGCGTGACAGAGCGCGTATAGCTTTGAGCCGTTGTCGCTCTAACTCTTCAGCACTAGAAAATTATATTATTATTTACGTACTAGGTACAATAGCACTGTACGGCAAATCAACGGGTCGTGAGTGATCTCTACCGGATTCAAATATTTATCGAATCTAATTATAATTATTCTGAAACATGGTGGATTTAGTCTGGAAATCTGGATGTTAAGTGGGTGGGAGGAATATCGAAATTCCGTACGGGTTGCGAACCACCGCTCAGAGATGAAAAGTCGTATCTGTAATCACGTTTCGGTTTCAGACAGTGGATTTCCGAATATCCATAGGCAATAGGTCCACAACGCATCTCGTTTCGATGATATAGGCTGGTGTGGTTCTTTTACCATCAAGTTACCGCCACGCTTGTCTGTCCTCGTCTATCATTATGCTTAGGTGATATACCATTCGGTTTCATAGATCAATTTTACAAAGAAGCAACTATATGACTTCGGCGCCTTTCTCTCGAACTATACATATACTTTGCTATCCTTACCAATCACACATTGCATTTGGTGTTTTGAAACTGTATATACGTTATGAAGCTTCGGTCCACAGCATTTTGTATATTTTTATCATTATTAAGTTAATTTTTTATTCTATTTATTCATTCCTTATTGACAGCTATTGTGACAAGTAGCAAAATATTTCTTCTTTTCTAACGCAGTCACGCATTCGTGTCATGGGCCTTGCACTATAAAAGTTTTTAATAGAAATTAATATATTTTTCAAATGCCGATATATAGAGCAGCGTATAAAAAAAACATTGTGTAGTATCAAACACTTGTTTATTTCACAAAAGTTAAGCCAATAATATTAATTACTTCGACTTTTCGTACCCTGCTGATGTATGTATGGATAAACAATTACTAATGATAAACTAGCCTATCGCTTCAACTTATTTATGAGCTGCGTACAAGTTGTTTTTTTTTTCAGAATTCAGTACCACTTCGCGGCCTATAACGACTACCTCCATTAAATTAGAGGTCCATCATCCAAGACGGATGTTTTAACATGCTCACCTAGTACTGCCAAGTCCTGGTAAAACTATGTTTCATCACCTAGAACATTTCTAAGAAATACTGCAAATAAACAAACATTCAGGACCGGACCTCGTCAAGTTCTCAATAGTAAATTCTATATACTTATTTTCGTGTTATTGAAAAAGAACTGCTACAAAACTTACAATACTGGCTACGTCTCCTTCTTTACAAGTACATAAATAATATTTTGCTCCTGGATTATGGTTGACTTTGCTATAACTACCTCCGCTTGCAAACATTTTATATAGAAGTGCAAGTAGCCCGGCACCGATCACTATACCCGCAGCGATTGGTACCCAACTGTCGCGACTGCTCATCATCTATACGTCCTCTTGTTTTGGATATGCTGCAAATTATTTTTTACTAATCATAAAGGTTTTAACATATCAAACTACAAATGGCCGTATTCTACCCTCCGTAGAATTCTATAAAATCTTATTTTCACTATTGTTTATTGATTTTTTTACGTTTCATTGTTGACACAGTAACTATTCAACAGCGCTGTCATGAGACTCCAGTCGACCAGCAGATTAAACGTCGCAAATGGAAATGGATTGACCACATATCCGTAGAGATTCCGATCATATTCCCAAACAGGCGCTTGATTGGAATTCTCAAGAAAAGCACAAATGGGGTCGCCCCAAACAATCCTGGCGACGTACAGTTGAGAACGAGGCGAAGAAAATGAGAAAGACGTGGAGCGAGATAAAACGCGAAGCTTAAGACCGGTCGTTATGGAGGACCAATGTAAACGCCCTCTGCCCCAGCTAGGGGATACAGGATATTAAGTCAAGTAAGTCATATTAACTTTTTCAGATCCCACTTCTGATACGCTGATTTGGCCACGCTATGCCCCAAAATTTACACGTCAGTGAAAGTCTTTAGCAAGTGCCGGTTTCCTCGTGATGTACGGGCCAGGTGATGCAGTACACCAGGGTCCCGGAACTTATCTTACTTATCTTTGAGAAGGTATAAGCGTAGAAACAAAAGGATTTTTTAACGTTCTTGTTGCTATTTTAAATTTTGGAGGTTCATTTAATTCAAGCTATGCTAAAAGTGGGGATGAGGACCCGATTAATTCTTGAGGCCCAGGTCTACCTCGACCTGGGCCCTTGTCCATCTAGCTACGCTACTGCACGCTCTCTGATTAATAACATATTATAAATAGTGCTATAAACAAACTATAAACATTATGTATAAATATTACATGCTATAAACATTGAATGGAACAAGTAAACTAAATTAGACTGTAAAATGAATCATTAATATATTTTATATAGACCAGTGTTTATTTACTGCTGTTTTTTTTTCACGAAATTTTGTTTTCCCAACTGGATTTAGATTTAAAGTTATTCATCCCGAAAAGGAGTAAGCTTTACTAAAGTCTAGTGTGCAACTAAGTCCGACTTCAACTTACAAAACTTACTTGTACTCTTTCGGGAACCAAGATTTATTAGAATCATGTACGAAATTAATTGGTATCAGTCGTTAAATGATATTTTTTTAATAAACTAATTGTTCGCAGATAAATACTTTACTTAGTGAGTATTCTATAGCATAGTTACAAATTATAAGATGTATATTTTTAATTTCAAGCAAGCCGAATTCAAAATACCATTACCATTGAGATTGTAAAAGTCCATCAAACTGTCACTTCCGCTGATACAATTTCAACAATTTTAACAGACTGTATTAATAAATAAAAACAGGATAAAAACCTTTTAAGACTGGACTGGGACGACAGCTACAGTTTTGGCTACGTTTGTATATTTAATGGATTAGACTCCAAATTTAATATGAAATCACAGAAATCTCGAATTTTATGACTTTGTGATTAAAAACGTAACCGAATTTTGTAAACAATTATTGGATGAAAAAGGAACAAGTCAATTGGCAATGCAATAAAATAAAATAAAAGGCGTGTCGTAGTTCTTAAATTTGCGCGCGATTAATTTTTCATTGACATACGGTTCCTTGTTTATTCCGTTTCTGGTCGTCTCTGGTCCCTATGGTATTCGATGTGGACCAATCAGACAAGTGGAATCGTAGTTTAACAATAATTTTGTAGGTCATCTCTGATTGGTTAAAATTTCCTGTTTAGATAAACATAACAATTCCGAGAATAAAATAGTAAATACGAGTCCGGACTAAACTAAAGCATTTAGATGATAAACAATACTTGGTGTCTGGTGAACACGACGCTTTCGACTCTCGGTTTGGCAATAAGTTTTATCTGTGTCCGCTGATAATACGTGAATAGTTAGTCATAGATAAGTTGCCGGCGCGGGCATTTTAGTACTGTATATATTTGTAAATGACCGGCTATTAACTCGACTTGGTTAAAAACAACAGGTATTATAAATTTTTCTTTCAAAATTGTTATAATAACATAATGTCATTTGGTTCAATAATAAAAAAGATAATGACATAAATTATAATTTAGCTAACCAGAAAAATGGCCAACAAAAGACAAAATGATATGTATCAAGAAATTTTCAAAGAATTCATAGCATTGAAGGATAAGGATTTAAAAAAATCACAAGAAGTGTTCAAAAGTGTTTTTGACCAGGTGAAAAAGAAATTAGAAGAACAATGTAACTTCTTTGCTAAATATGCCACTCAGGTAAGACACAGTTAATAATTGTTGTGTTTTAATTGTGATATTAAAAGATGTTTTTAACAGGTACTCTATGCAGGAAGTGTGTATGATGGCATTAAAGTATCGAAATTAGATGAATTTGATATGAACATTGTGATACGATTGCCCATTAACTATGATGATAGTGAAGATGGCATCATTCTAGAAAATGACCTCCCTGGCTTCGTTAAGTTGAGGATTGGTAGAGCATTTGATAATCTTGATAAACAAAAGGTCTGTAAATTATGTGGATTTGATATAGCTAACTGTTAGTTAGCACCTCTAGTGAGCACAAATTTTGTCACAGGGATAATGGTAAAATATTTAAAACACAAGTCTACTTTTTTTTATATTCCCTTAAAACATACTTTGAAGTAACACAATTACACCTTATCCACTCCAGGCTGTAGCTTCTTGCTCTGTTTGTTTATTGAAATTACTAGTATACATTATTTACAGAAGTCTTCTCCTCGTTTTAGGAATGGGAATCTTGTCATAAAATAACCAGAGATTGGCGAGATAACGACAAGTACTTACTACAAAACAAGTTCCGTTCTTGGTTACATAGCCTTATACAAACGGCGCTAAATTCAATGAAGCACGAAGTTACTGTAAATGATGTTAAATATATCTTGAGTTATAAGTCAAGTGGTCCAGCATATACACTGAATATAAAAAGCGTGCCCACAGATGAACCATTTAATCTTGACGTCGATCTTGTTCCAGTGATAAGATTCATGTTGCCGAGATGGCCAAAGGGCTACAAGTAAATTGTCTTGGCATGCTTTTTGTTTGGAATTTGGTTTCTTATAAAATGCAATAATCTGTTTTGTTTTAGAAATATAAACAATGATAAAGCTAAGGAGTGGTTTGTGGTACCAAAACCTAATAAAAACATTGAAACCAGCAATTTACAAAATAAATGTTGGCGCCTCTCATTTCAAGAACAGGAGAAATATATTATGAGGGATTTGAAGCAGTTAAAAATTACTATTAGACTGGTAAGGATGACATACAGGTCAAATCTATACTATAAATGCAAAAGTAACTCTCTCTGTCTGTCTGTCTGGCATTAACACCAGAACTAATGACACGGATAGTCTAAAGCCTGAGAAAGGACAGAGACTACTTTTTAATGCCGAAGAGGATTGAAAAAGGGATGAAAACTAGAACTCAAACTTTCTTCTTTGGCATCTTGGGAATGGGAGTTAGACTAGAAGTCATGTGCAATGAGAGTGGGAGTGTTGGGTCAAAATAGTACTTACAACACAGATTAGCTGCCTTGAATGCGCCCTTTTCAATCACATGCAATGTAAAACCTTTTGCTGTACGAAAAAAAAAGGTAGTAAAGGGTTGAATGAGGGATGAAAAGTTGTGTAGATGTATCTAATTAATTTTTATAGAACTAACTAATATTATAAATGCTAAGTAACTGTGAAACACTGTAACACTGTATTTACACATGTGTCTTATTAAATTCAACTAAACAGCCTTAAAATTAAAAATGACCGCCTCTGTATCCAATTGGTTAAACGTATTGCCTAGCATTGCGTTATGCGCAAGAGGTCCTGGGTTCGAATCTCAGGGAAACAAAAAAAAAAAGTTTCGGTCGGGCAAGGCACAGAAGTCTGATCAACTACTTGCCTGTTAAAAAAAAAGATCAGTGAAACGGACACAGAAATGTGTTCGCCCTATGCCCCGCGAGGGGAGGGATTTCACACAAATAATTAAAAAATTCTACCCAAAGTCACTATTACCATGCGAACGAAGTCATGGACACAACTAGTAAATAATACATTAGAAAAACAATAATTTCTTTAGAGGGATATATAATCTTAGTCTTGAAAATAAAGTCATTGCATTAATTAGGTAGATTAATATTTCACAAATAATACTGATAACATACTCTCTATTCCAAAAGTATGTGAAGTGTATAGCTCATATATTATTTATCTCTCTGTAGGTAAAGAAACTACGTGATGCACGAGGTATGAAACACATCGCCAGCTATTACATAAAAACGTTGTTCCTGTGGAAAATACAGAGAACCAATCACAAAAAATACTGGGAGAGCAACGTCAGTACAATTTTCAAGGACATGATCGAAGAATTTTACGACGCAGTTAACAAGAAAAACATCCCATACTTCTGGCATGAAAAGAACAACCTCATCGGCGGGGTGAAGGAGACCGTTTTAAGGGTGTACGCCGATAAACTCAAGGAGGTACTTGATAGTATAAATAAAAACGACGTTGAAAAACTTTCAAGTTATTTATTGACTAAAGAGGAGTTTGACATCTTCAAGAATTCCGAGTTCTTTAAAAAGTACCAGACCGCTGCCGTCCATCGACAGATGTCTATGGAGAGCACATCCAGCTACCAATCAAGTCAATCGAGGGATGTTCCAGATTCATCGCAATCAAGCAACACTGACGTCATTAAAGATCTTATGGATAAAATATCGGTGTTGACAAAAAGAGTAAATTCCCAAGAAGAGAGAATTAAAGCTCTGGAAATGAATAAGCAAAAATTGTCTGTAAATGCAGCTTACAATGGCTTTATACCAGAAAAGAATAGTGAAGTCTCGGACTTACTAACATTTTGATTCCAATGGATACAAATTATTTGTACTTTCCGGTGCTTGTTCTTGTTAGGTTATGTGTAATTTATCTTATAGCCGTCTAGAAGAATTATATTTTATCCACCATTTATTAGGTAAGGTATATCTGTGAAGACATTTATATTTTAGATGGTTTATATTTATATTATATTACAAATATATTTTTCCTATCTAGCCTTTAATTGCTGAGATCCTTTTTATTAAGAAATAATACAACTTTACAACAATTGCTAAGGGTACACAAGGCAGGCACGATGAATTTTTATTATGGGAAGTTATTGTAACATTTTTGTACACACAAACTATTTAAGTGAGAATTTGTAAACTAGGCAATTGCTTTAAATTTACTAAGGTGTCTGTGAAAACAATTGCCCGTATTAGTTATTTTTAATTCTCACTATATATTTATATCAGTGGAATATAGAATTTGTATATGTGAGTGAAAAAAAGGCATTCATATTACGTTGTAGAAAAAAAAAACTATCACACTATATATTATCATGATAATTTATAAATTTTAACTTAAGTATAGCTAAAAATATGAGAATATTTTATACATAATAGAAAAAAAACTAATAAGTAGGTATTAATATTAAACTAATTACAGTAGATACATACAGACACGGGCATAATATGGCAACTTTTGAATACAATCGCATTGTGCAAATTAATACCATTAAAATGAAATTGATTGTAAATTACGATTGTGCTATTCAATTTATTCTTTTGAAGCAGTGCTACTTCAAGACCTCAACATACAAAACAAGAATACAAAATATATGATTTCACAGTACAACACATTGAATATAACTCTTAACGATTTAAAACAAGAAATATATTCGTAAATTTATTTTTAATGATCCAAAACGTTCGTGATCGTACTTAAAACAATTAAATAATATATTTACGCGTTTTAAACCTTATAATGTCTTACATTTATATATAGCATTTTGTATTACGAACGATTATTTTCGAAATGATTTTATATATTAACGTGAATTTAGAAGCAAAACAAAAGGACTAGAAAGTTAGTATTTTATATTAAACCTGGCAACATTGACGAGCCCTGAACGCACGCTTGGGCCCGATCGGTTTAGAATTGAATTCACTTTATAACCGATCAGGATAGTCTTAAGCTTCCTTTTCGTACATTTTTACATCCGTAACACCACACAGTCAGAAACTATATCAAACAATAATAATTATTCAAAAGTTGCCACCTTAATTAATATTGGTATACACCATCAACTCGACTTATATATTTGCAATACTCTTTAGGGCCGTGATGTCAAAACAAATTTTATACAACATAAAGATCTAGTAGAGAGTGCACCAACACAAGCTATATTAGTCTAATTGAACAATGCTTCATACCGAATTATCGCCTCATCTCAGAGTATGTACATTTAGCTGCTTTGGTGCTTAATACTTATTTATTACTATTACAGTTATTGTAATAAAACCATAATTTTTGTTTAACTACTTTGTCCAATATTTTGGTTGCCCACAGACTACAGTAAATTCTTCAATTGATATTGTTGTGTCTATTTATACAGGATTCAAAGTCTGCTATTCACAATATATTTTTCTATTGTTGCCATATCACTGGTTTAATTAGCAGACGTGGAACCCTGTTACAATTACCACCAGAACTTAAACAGAGCATAGAGGTTAGTATAAAAAATCTAAAATGGACCATATTAAAATTATACAGAACAGCCTACCAGTCTCACATAACGTTAAGTGCTACCAACTCGGTTCTAATTCGATATGAAAGGTTACAATTTGCCAAAACACGTATCAACGCGATACCCAAACACCGTAACGACGCAATAAATATATGATCGATAGCAAGGTTTCGGGAGGTATGGGAACCTCCCCCCACTCGAAAGGTAATAGATAAGGGCTTTGGCAAAACTAATTTATTTAAATAGCATTAATAACATACAAGTCGTCTTCGTCACGCGTTAAGGCGAAGTTAGTTATGCGGGTGATCTGCAATATTACAATAATTTGGCTATTCGACTAGTCTGCTGATTCGGTTGAATCACTAACATCGTAATCTAAGGAACTAGCTAAAGATTTCAAAGTTGTCTAGCATAAAGATTAATTATAACATTGATAGGTTGGAATCAAAATTTCTGGCTAGGGACAGTGTTCTGCGGGGCTCAGAAGTTGTTATATAAAAGTGTGATCGCATATTTGCCAACAACGCGCCGAACAAATACTAACATCTCTTACTGAATGTTTGTTCTCAAAATCCTTTAATGTTTTTTATGTAATATGTATCAATTACAATCAGAATTAAGGTATCAGCAGGACCAGCCCGAACGGAATCGTAACGTAATCGCATCGCCTCGGAACAGGCTCCGAACTTGCAATTCCCGCGCTTACGGCTCATCGTCCCCATCGTAGCCGAGGTGATGTACAGGCGCTGCTTATACGCTTTTGGTTGTGCGTACGGTAGGTTGACGCCTGGTTGACAGCAAGGCGAAAGGCGTTACGGTTACGATCCCTTTCCGATCCCATATGTGTGCTGAGACCCTTATATGAAAGAATTGTTAACTAATTAATGTATGGATTGTTCAGCTGTTAATATTTAGAATTATTTGACTAATGCATCTCTTTCAATACACAACAAACACAAAGTAGTCCAAGAATAGAGCCAAGTTTAAACATCATAAGAAACTTTTTACCTTAAACTGAATTTCAACAATGACAGCTTTAGAGGAAACAACTGGTTAATATTAAAACCTTATTTCCCTCAAAGATGATGGCAGTATTATATAAAATAAAAATGAGTTATTCGTTTTAGATATTACCAAGCCCTTAAGGTTAACACCGTTTAGGCCACAGATGCATTATACACCGTTCTACAAAGACGAAGCACATAGCCCGTGCTGGCGAAACGACGCCTTAAGTGTTTCGGATGACTTGTGAGTTAGAACTGCTTAACGCGCGCTGCCCGACTTACTGTGCGCAATCAGCCATTGAAGAGTAATGTCGATATTGTCCTTTTCCTTACACGAAATCGAATAACAGCAGATCTCGCGGTCCTGGATCGCAGATAGGTTCCTGAAAGTCACGTCCAACTGTTAAGTCGAAGATATAATATATAGATTATAACAAATCCGTTATTAAAATGCATTATAAGACCTCGACACATAATGGGCTGATTTATTAATTTTTAAAATGTACTTTTTATATTATTCAGTAAAAACCTTAGAAAAGTGGTATTTTTACATATTTGCTGAAATATTAAAATAAATCAACATTCAAACTGCGCGCCTTAACGCAAATTTTGCAAAATAACGCTGCAATATAACTAGTGACGTCAGGACCTTATAATGGCCATTGGTGTATGTTGATCATATAATCTATAATCTAAATGCAATTGTACCAAATATTTTCACTTTTAACAGTGATTGTAGTAATGTGTTATTAATGAAGAGAATAGAACAGGCTTATCACTTGGAAGCACGGTGGTTTATAGCACTGTTTTAAGCAAGTGACGTCGTCATAAACCCGACCAATCAGGAGTGTTTTGTGTCACTTGACAAATGTTTACCTTTATTTGCGATTTTATATTTAAATCAATTATTATTTTTACCATATGTTAAACTGTAAGACTGTGTGTAAGACTGTTTTACTCCTAATTGAGGCTATATTTTTCGCATTGTCAAATAGCTACTATGATAAATAAAGATATTGCAGCTATTATCTAAAGGTTCTTGGTTTACTTGGTGACTCAATAGAGAATTTGTTCTCATTGTTTCAACATCAAGAATGGATCACATTATTAGATATTGAGTATTCGTGACTAACGAAAACTGAAAGGAAAAATTGTCATACATGACCCGCCAAACAGCTTTATACCCAAAGAATCTTAACATATTATGTTATAGTATTGGAAACTAATCAATCAATTGTAAATGTACTTTTAATGTGGTTTCTTGTGTATATTTATTTACATTTACAACAAAAAGACTAAGCTCACTCACATGCGTTCAATAAGGCCGTGTTCGTCCAGTGCATGCGGCAGATCACGCTTGTTCCCCAACACCAGCACCGGGATACCTGTCAGTTGCTGCTTTTCCAATAAATTGTGTAATTCATTACGGGACGCCTCAATCTTATCTGGGTCCGCTGCATCTACCATATAACTGTTAAACAAAAGAATGATGAATTAATTTTATACAAATACTTCTATGACTTAGTCTCAGCTTTAGTTAATTAATTCTATGTTTGAGTTTTTATTTAAATCTTAATATTTGGTCATTGTTATGGTGAATTTCTAATAGTTTATGAAGGTCAGACCCAACCTGGTAAGTAACACATACAACAATGAAACAATTTCTAAATTAGCCAAAAAGATAAAGGATAAACAGATGTCAACAATTGTCTCGCTAAACTGCCAATTAATACAACAGATGCAGAAATGAATCCTGAAGATGAAGCTCAGATATGGCACCTCTTAAAAAAATTTGCTCCCAAAAAATACAACTAAGATTACTTACACAATAGCATTCACACCTCTACAATATCTTTCCCACATTGATCGGAACCTAGGCTGACCACCAATATCCCAGACCTGTGAGAAAACATTACAAACACATATGTAAGTTTAAAAAATATTTCTAAAAGAGATAGTCTGTGACGCAGATAAGATTCAAATTGGTCAATTTGTCTACTAAAAAAATTTTTATTCAAATTTTTATCAAACCAAATAACACAATAACAACGAATTTTGAGATGTTCAATTTAAAACTTACCTTAATAGTAACATTTCCTTTGGTAATTTTGCGCATGTTGAATCCAACTGTAGGAATCATATCTTCACTAAACTGTCCAGACTGTAAAATCACAGTAGAAAAAATAAAGAATTTACATGACTTAAAGAAAGTGACGTTTTGTATCTGATTTAGAAATTGGATAGTGACTATATTTCTTTTTTACCTTTTATGAGCAGTAGATATGTAAAAAGGTGTTTTTTTGTATGCCCTTGATGTAAAAAAAATATATCTAGGATTGTATATTTTACTTGGACCATACTAGTTTTAAAACTACATAGATGTTATTAAGAAAATCTATACAGTTTTAAAACTACATAGGATGTTATTAAGAAAATCTATACAGTTTTAAAACTACAAAATGCTAAAGTGAAATAAATATATCGTGTCTCAGTGCCATGTTTTATGCATAGTTGAGTAAGTACTTGAATTTTACAAAAAATATTCAAGTATTTTCATTGAATTAATTAAAAACAGATTGCAGTATACTCAAATGTTTGTAACGTTTTTAGATAACAAAGAACACACAATAAGAATTTTTAGCGATAATACGTACAGCAATGACGTTCACAAAAGTTGTTTTGCCCGAATATTGTAAACCAACTAATGTAAGTTCCATTTCTTCTTTCCAAAACAAGCTTTTAATCCAATCAAGAATACGATTGATCAAGGCTAACATTTTTAGGCACTGAATAACTTTTACCAATTATAGAGAAATTCTTCAAACGCCTTTTCTAAAAAGTTGGCGACACAATTGACATTTGTGCTTTGACATAATGTGACAAAACGTAAGGCAATATAGTTTGACATATGACAATTAACACGTACCCTCCACAGATTAATCGCTTTTATGAACTGTACTTTGACCTTGTTTGTGGATACTCTGCACTGCGTATCACTCTCCCGCCTTTTCTTTATGTTTCCGAATTGACAAATCGGAAACATAGAGCCTTTTTTTATCTGAAAGATTTTGATTTTTGAAGCAATAAGATTTTTAATATAAAACCCTTTTGTACTAATTGATACATGACTATTTAAGTAACTAATAAATCATTACATTATTGCATGCTATATATTATATTTTAATTAATCTATATTCTACAAAAAAGGGTATGCTATGAAAGCGCCAAATCATTTTCTTTGTTTTTGCCAAAAATTTTCATTGAGTTTTTACTACTGTCCCACATCTGCTCTGTTCCACTCTCTCAGATGAGAACTCTTACGTTTTCTACGGAAAGATATGCATAACCTTTTGAGATCAATAGGCATATTGCATTAATCGGTTCAGAGATTAAGAAATTTAACGAATCAAATAAACTGCTTGTCTTTATATAATTGTATAACAACTTTATTAACAAGTCTAGCGAAACATTTTCAGGTACAGAGGAAAGCAAATTTAACCTACCAAGACTCGCAAAACAAAATGCAAAGACATCAGATGTTTGGGTACGTTTTGGGTAGGTATGTACTACCTTATAAATTTTTACGAATGTAGGGTCACATGGCTAAGGAAGACCTACCCCCGGCATACAGCTTTGTGCCTACATTATAGTTACTTTGCCTAAATTAAGCCAAATCAAATTAAGAAAATAACTTAAACTGGTTCAATATCTGCCGTCTTTGAATGCAAACATATTGATATAATAATCCTTTTGAAAAAAACACTTTTAACATTGTAGCAGCCGAAACGCCAAGCCGTTTTAAACCATTAAAAACATTTTAATGAAATGTGCAGATTACAGACAATACACATTACATTTCCCTTATTTTATTAAATCCCTTGCTTAGTATGTGTCATTTTTTGGTACATTTATACGCAACTTCATCAAAATTTATAAAGCCATTCGGGCGTGACAAGCTATCGCTCAACCTTCAATTCGCATTTTTTATATAATTACGATTATAAAGGTATTTTAATGAAAAAATAATCAGTGAGTATACACATTTACTACACGTTTTAATTTATTTATTTTTTATAATATATATAACAATACGTTTGAGAGTATAAAATAGGTAGCTGTGCCCGCGACTTCCTCTGCAAAAAAATAGTCATTTTAGGCATCGAACTTTTGTTTTTTCAAACTTCCTCCTCATCTTTACGAATTATATTTGTTATCGATGACATCGATCGCGTCCTGTCGTTTTTGCAATTAATCTTGGAAACGTACTCATAGACATATACCGTCGCGGACATTTTTTATTTAATTATTCTTTCATATATATTTTTTGAGTATCTTATACCGTTTTCGCAGCGCACGCAACGGAAACCCTCAAAGATAAATATTTCTTCCTGTTTTCCCCCTTTCTTACCATTTATACCATAAAGGCATTCAAGATAAATGTTCTAACCAACACACATCTTATAAATTCGAACTATAAGTTCTTGAAATTATGGCTTTCAAACAAAAACTCTTCAGTTTTTTAGATATAGCAGGGGTTCACTTGATGGTAGGTAATATACCCCAACCAATAGCATCTAACCAAAATGCGCTGTCGTCCTATTTTGGCTTTTTTTACGAACTTCTCTCTGTGGATCCTGGTTCGTGCCCCGGAAGGGATTTCTATATCCCTACTACCTATTTAAAATCCAGATTGCCAGACGAAGTCGTTGAAAAATTAATCATTACCCTATCGGAATAAAAAGCTACAAATATAGTTTTAAATTAAAACACTTTAACGGTTTAAAACGCGATAATTTAACTTCGGTCCGACGTTTCGATGCTTTGCAAAAACCGGGGGAGCGGGAGCCCGCGAGGAAAAAAAAAATTAAAAAAAAAAAAATAAAAAAAAACCGCGTTTAAACCCTAAAGGTTTTAAAGGACACGTAAACTATAGACAGAAAATATAGTTTATATATTTCATTTATATTTAATTATAAAACATACAGCCACGTACGTATAGAAGCCTGAAAGCCTGCACATTCCTATACTCGTGTATTTTGCGAAGCGGTCACATGACTGTACCGGCCGGCGCTCGTGAAAGACAGATCTACGACTCACAACCGCTGTGAACGTAACGCGGCGACGACGTTACCCGTTATGCTACCATCCCGCTCATTGATAACAGATCGTTCGCTATTTCGTACGTAAAGTGGTGTGTTTTGACATAACCTTAACATTTAATTCGGGTCACTGTGTTATCCCGGCTACGGAAATGTGACTGACACATTTATTTTTGTGATTTGTGTTTACCGAGTGACAGAGTGTTTGTGTTTTGCGTGACATAATATTGTTGTGAACTGATTTGAATATGGAAACCCGTCATTATTGGGAGGAGAACGGACATACGGTGAAATATGACAGGTATTGGATAAATTCATTTTTAAATATATCGTTTTGATCCCAGCCAATGTTACAAGTTCTATTTTAAGAACATTAAAATGAGACAAGTGTTCATTTTTATGATGGGAGGTGGAATGCCAGAATCCTATGTAAGTCCTAGTCCTAGGTAATGCGTCGATGCGTGGTCGACCTATGATTATTTCACGCATTCATAATTCCCACATCGAATTTAGCACGAAAAGACGACAACCAAAATGCGAATATACGCTTCAAGGTTGGCGGAATTTCTTATTTCGTTTTACGGTAAAGTTTTCCTCCAAACGCTTTTTGTTTTCGCTACTCGCAACCAAGAGCCGCCTATTGCATGCCATGATTCAAACAATTATTTCAAATCTTGAATCAAAGATATAGAAACAAACCGATATATTAACTATTTAAAATACTGGTAAATATAATACCTATAATGCTTCAATACCGTTACATTTCGTACGTATTACATTAACTTATATAATATATATTAGTACAATAATTCCTTAGTTTAAAATAAACAATTTTAAAAAGTCTAACTTGTAGTTTTTCAGTTTGAGTTCTTCATGTAGTAGATGGTACCTACTAGTACTCAGTTTAGACAAACGTGAATATTTATACTTAATTAAAATGTATTTTTAAATAAAAAAAATAGGTAAATAAATATTATTAATTTAATAATATTCGGTACCATTCAATACGTGGAAAAGTACCTTTCCATATAGATAGGTCTTTCCTTTTACAACGTTACAGTATTATAGATTTTAACGAGTTTATTATTCTACAAAAACTTATAAATTTAAGAAATTATGGCAACATACAAATAGTTGTGTTATTTCTCATGCTAAATTACTTAAATGAAGATAGGCCAGATTCAAGCAAATCTGGCAAAGATAAAAGCAGTAGTTGGATGTGATTGCGGCGAAAGCGCCAAACGAAAATAGCGACCAACATCGTGAAACACGTGACTCGGGTATAGGAGGGGGGGCGTTGCACGCGCCTATCGCGGGCCAGCCTCCACACGCCGAGCAAAATGTGACTACGCACACAAACAACGCCGTTTACCTATTTCGACTCACACACCTATACCTATGTCACGTTTACGTATCGCCTGACTCAAATGAACTCGACCGGATATAAAATAGTATGCCTTCTTAATGATTTTCTTTGCGCAATCTTACCGATCGAATATTGCACACATTTCAGATGCAGGAGTTAAGTGTTTGTTAACCCTATTGCGCTCAAATTGCTGAACGAATTTAGGTAAAATTAGGAGCAATTTGATAGCAATTGTTGGAGATAAAATTAGGGCAATAAAATGGTGTTGCCGTAGTAATAGACTCTATGAAAGTTATTTATATCTTTGGGGTTATCCATAAAGTACGCCACACGAATTTCATGATTTTTTGGCCTTTCTTCATTTCTGAGACCCCTCCTGTTAAATTTTGCAATTTCACATCGAAAAATTATTAATTAACACACAGTTCCGAAATTAGCTTTTTTGTTTTCGATAAGTTGGAAATATTTTTTTTTAATTAATATTATTTCAAGTCACGCGATTAGTACTTCTAGAAATTGATTTTATTATGTCACGAAACTTAACTCTCTACGCTTGTATTCAACTTTGTCGACCCCCTCCCCCTTTTGTGACGTACTTTATGAATGACCCCTTTGGGTCCGTAGCGATTTATACATATTAACGTGTTTTATAAATCGGACAACAAACTTCTATCTATATGTATAGAATATTAAAAAACATTTTAGATGTAAATTTGAATTTTATTTAATGAGACATTATTAAGGAAAGAAATAAGATGCTAGACTTCTTGTTTCTCCTCAATCCTTTCAAAATTTAAATACATTATGCATAATTCTATTTTTAAATTAGCGAATCTCAAATTCTGAATGGCGTGAATAATTTGCGGTCTACTACTTTGTATAACACATTATAACATACAGCACTAGTGCGAAAGAGATAGACGGACAAGGCCATTTTCCAACGCGAGTGCAAGGGACAAAATATAATATAAGCATGGTCGAAAACGTGACGAGCGTGAATAAACAACATTTTTTAAAGTTTATCATAAGGCTTTTATTAGTAAATCAAATTACATTTAATTAATTATTTTCATATAGTGTTTAGTTTATAAGATTGGCTCTGAACTGATTGGATATCTTAGAAGAACTTAACATTTTTATTATTTAAAAAGAATTTAAACAATATACATTTTTGGATTGTGTACTCGCGGACTATTGTGAAGCGAGTTCTTAGTATAAATGTATTTATATTATGCCTTATAAGAAGAAATACTGTTTGGCAAAACAACTTCTTAATATTAAAGACAGTTGTAAGAAGAATAGGACGGTAAATAGATTTTATGTTAGAACCGTAGGTCACGAGACCCATTTACTTAAAGGATAAACAATCATTTATCTAGCACAGTAATTATTAAAGGCCGACTGACCTTGCCTCACTATTTGTGGATATCATGAGCACGGTGCAGTGAGGTAATTAGGCATGAATTGATTGCAACAAATTGTACTGCCTATGCAACGATGGTACGCGTCTGTAGTGGAATTTTCCTTTGGGTTTCTTACAACGCGCCATTCCAACAATTTATTTAGCAAGGAAAGAACATTTTTAAATAAAATAGTTGTAAAGCACAATAGTGACTATTCAAATTATAAAAATAGTAGATATAACACTACGGTTAATTCTAGAATTATCATTTTTATGACTCAAATAAAACAATTTAACGGTTTAAAACGCGATGTATATTAGTTAAACTTTTTTGGAAGTCATCAGTTATATAACCAAATTTGTTATCTAAGTATTATATGACCATAATAATTGATCAGTGAGCATAATCTGCTTAAAGCTAAGGATTACACTCGCGTATAGTTTTTGCGTGTTTGTTTTTAGTGAGACAGCTTTTTTATTTTTGTTACAAACTGGATATACTTAATTATTTTTATGTGAAATATTCAAAATGCTTTGACAGTTGACACACTGACTGACTTTAGGCTGAGACTAACTAAAGCTTTCGCTAAGATCGACGAGCACGTGCGTTATAGAAGTAATATTGCGGATTATCTGTCAGCCTATAATTAGCTTTAAGTGTCTAAATATAGCTTAAGTTTATGACTCACATTTACCTTTTAAATAGTGAGGTCATGGTCTGAGTAGTTCGTGTAGCTAAGTAGCGATATAATTACGTAACTTTTTACGACATGTAAACAGACCAATATTTATAGATTTAACAATTTTTTGCAGCCTCTCGGAAACTTATAATGAATAATTTTCCCAACTATTTTCACATTTCTCGCTGTATTTTCGCTTATATTAGTCACAACGATATTTTAGCCTATATATATATATAGCCTTCCTCGATAAATGCTCTAAACTAACAACAAAAATAATTTTTCAATTCGAACCCGTAGTTCTTGAGATACGCGCGTTCATACATACAAAAAAGAAATTCTTCAGCTTTATATATTAGTATAGATATAGATTGACAAATAATTCTCCAGCCTTATAACATGAAATTAAATTTTGGGCGTGATCCACAGACTAAAACAATCTCAATTTACTAATGTGTCTGAAGTTATCAAACAAAACAAGAAATGAATTAATTGACCCGTATAGCCCCCCTAAATTACACAGCTCCGTCTGTGTCGCGTAATTTACATGCACGTGACTTATTTGTATATAGCAGATTATATGTATATAGATGTATACCTAAATAAATAAGACGACATGTAATATATTTTAAATAGTCGTAAGTAATACATTATTGTCGAAATTCATAAAATTCATACCTGCTTGGCCTAGCTTCTCTGGACCGTAGATATCTTATAATTATAAAGTTGTATATTGTAAATATCATGTAATTATTGTAGTATATATATAGTTAAATAATTACATAATGTTTAAAATGAGCCTAAAATAAAAACTGGATTATAAATACCTACCTATGTAATTTTAAATACGTAATTGAGATAATAATAATTATGTTAAAGGTGAAAGTTCAATGGCTTATAATAATTTGCGATCATGTATTCAAAAGGTTTAAGTAAATTAATGTACATTGTTTAAATGAAACTAACAATTAATATCAAATAATAATACTAGAACAAAAATTAACAAGTAGATCGATAGAGGCCGGAATTAAATAAACTTAACTAGGTCCAGGTAAAATAGTAGTCTATAATTTACACGGGGTATATTTTACGCGCGTAAACAAAACATTTAAATAAAACACTTTAACGGTTTAAAACGCGATATATTAGTTAAACTTATTTGAAAATGATTTGTAACTTCGGCCCGACGTTTCGGTTTCCCCGTGACCACGGCTGCTGCAAAGCATCCGAAACGTCGGGCCGAAGTTAAAAATCATTTTCAAATAAGTTTAACTAGTAGGTGTAGAATTGCAGATTCTGTACGTTGAATGGCGAGGACGATTTTAAGTTTATTTGTGGTACTGATACGTTGCTGGCACTCTACCTTGACTTTCGAAAAGTGACGTGTTCAAAACCACATTCGCGGTTCAATGTAATGGCCAATTAGCGTTCGTAAGAGCGTTATCGAGTTACGTCGCGCCGCCACTGTAGTTCGCCTCGTGTGGAGCAACGTGACTGTTCCTCACGTGTTGGACCACGCCGCGGTTGTTGTGCCGCGCTTAGACGTATCCATCTAATCTTTGCTCAATCGCTTCTTAATTTCAATATTTAACTGAGGGCATCTTTATTGGACTTTACTTGGATTATATGCTTTACGTTAAAATTCGATAATTAATGAGGGATTTTGAGTTCCCAAAGTAATGTGTATGAAATAAAAAAAGTTATACAAATATAATAAGGTAGATGGGCTATAAATTCTAATTATTGATTTCTTCTTCTTTATTGCAGCGAATCCCGTTAAAACTCTATTTTTTTTGTTACTGATAAGTGTGCACCATATTTTTTTACGTTGTAGGCAGTATGTTATTTGTTGT